AGGGAGAGAGGGGGAGGGGGGAGAGAGATAGAGAGAGTGAGTTAGTTTAAAAGGGGAAGGCGGAATTTCCTAAGAATGACAAGGGGTGTCTGGGGGTCTTCATGCGAGTGACTAGAGTTGAGAGGGTTGCCTGATAGGTGCAGGTTGGAAAGGGCAGAGCGGTTTACTAGGATGAGGCGGGGCCCGGGAAGACAAAGAAAGGATAAAAATGAGGGAAGGGTATATTGACTGATCAAAGATGTGACTGCGAAAAAAGAGGGGACGGGGTGGCCAAGGAAAATGGGGGAACAGGTCGATGGGGGTGTGTGGCGGGGGCCGAAGATTGGCGAAGACAACGGTGGGGTGAGTGTCGGGCGTGTTTCTGTCCCACCCCCCTCATGCACCGCCCACCAGCACCAGCCCGAGTACCTTCGGGGCCTACAGTGCTGATGAGCAGCTCTGCTCTGCCCCGGGTCCTCCCGGCCGCGGCCAGCACAGGTAGGGTCCCCGGAGCGCCCTCGCTCACGAACAGCCTCATTTCGCTGTAAATCCCACGCTGATGCAACAGGAACCGGCCTCCCCGCTATGGGTTGAGTGGCCGCCACGAGGCACGCCGGGAAATGGAGTTCTCTATTAGGCCACTGCCCGCATACAGCTCCCGGAAATAGACTATTTCTCCCACCATGCAACACTAGGAAACAGGAAAAGACTACCATCGACATGGAGAGGCCTTCGATGCGATGCTAGAGCGGCACTTTTTTTGATAAGGAGGGGCAGAGAAGTTTACGTTTGGGCGCAGGCGAGCTCTTATCTTCTAATACAGAGGGAGAGTGGTGACTAAAACTGCTGCCTGGGGCCGGCCCGTGGCTCACTCGGGAGAGTGCGGTGCTGATAACACCAAGGCCACGGGTTCGGATCCCATATAGGGATGGCCGGTTCGCTCACTGGCTGAGCGTGGTGCTGACAACACCAAGTCAAGGGTTGAGATCCCCTTACCGGTCATCTTTAAAAAATAAAAATAATAATAATAATAAAAAAACTGCTGCCTCTTCTCGTTGCTGAGGACGAAGTGGCGATATCGTGACAGCGGCTACTCGCAAAGGCCGATTCTCAACTCAAGTTCTTTTTTTTTAAAGATGACCGGTAAGGGGATCTCAACCCTTGGCTTGCTGTTGTCAGCACCACGCTCAGCCAGTGAGCCAACCGGCCATCCCTATATAGGATCCGAACCCGTGGCCTTGGTGTTATCAGCACCGCACTCTCCCGAGTGAGCCACAGGCCGGCCCTCTCAGTTCAAGTTTAAGGCTCAATTTTAGAGTTGGGAGTTATGATGAGCTTACTTTAGTAACAAACGAAATTAGTGCAGATGTCCTATCAACAAAAAAGGATGTGGCTAATTAAAATATTGATTTAACACCAACCTACAGCTCATATACAGCTAGACAGTGTCATCAAAGGGGGAGAAGGGTATCTGTAGGGAAAAAGTCAAATTGAGGGGAAGTAAGAAGGCTGTTTGGCAATAAGTATTTATTATGAAAGGAAGCACATGTCAGTAATTGAGAAAGGAACCCTTCCTATTCATCTTTGTATTCCTTTAAGAATAATTAATACAGGTTGGCAGGTTGGCTCCCTTAGTCAGAATGTGGTGTGGATAACACCAAGGTCAAGGGTTCAATCCCTGTACTGGCCAGCCTCAAAAAAAAAAAAAAAGAAAGAAAGAAAGAAAAGAAAAGAATTAATACCTAATAGGACTTATAAGATAGGCGTGGTTCTAAGCACTTTACGTGTATTAATTCATTTAATTATCCAAAAAACTCTACAGGAGTTCTGGGCCTTTTGAAGCTAGGCCACAAGAAATTTTGCAGCTTCTACTCAGGCTTTTTGGCACACTCTGGTGGCCCTGAGCTATCATGTAAGAAGTCCTACTACCCTGATACTGCCATGCTGGAGAGGCCTCATGTAGGCATTCTGGCTGACAGATCCAGCTGATCCTAGCATTCCAGTCATTCCCATCAGGGTGCCAGACATGTGAGTGAAGCCTTCCAGACCAGCCCATCTGCCTACTGAATACCACCAAGTGATCCTTGGTGGGTCAATGCCACATGGGACAGAAGAATCACCCTGCTGAGCCCTACCCAAATTTCTGCCCTATAAATTTGTAAGCTATAATAAAATGGTGGTTGTTACACAAAAAACTATGAGGTAGGTTCTCTCATTCCCATTCTTCTAACAAGGGAACTGAGGCACAGAGAGGTTACTTTGTGCCAGAAACTCTGTAAGACATTGAAAATACAATGATCAACAAATAGATATGGTCTTCTACCTTGGCAGCACTTATAGACTTCCTGAAAATCAAATAATCTTTAAAGTGTGATGAAAGTTATGATGGGGGAGGTAAAGCTTGCCATGGAGGCTGCTAGTTAAGGCCCCTCTGAGAGGTTAAGAGAGGGTTTCTTGTGCAAGTGACCTTTCAGCGGAGATCTGCATGATGAGTAAGAGGGAGTAAGACTGGAGGGAGTGGAGATGGGAAGTGTTTCAAGCAGAGGAAACAACGTATTCAAAGGATCAAAGATCTCAAAGCACTTTAGGAATGTGAGGAATTAGTATATGAGTTTATGGTGGGGAGTGTGAAAAGGCAGGCTAGAGCGGGGAAATCTCTGTACATCACATCATAAAGTTTGGACTTTATTTTGAGGACAATGAGAAGCCTTCGAAAAGTTGAAGTCGGGCCGGCCCGTGGCTCACTCGGTAGAGTGCGGTGCTGATAACACCAAGGCCCCGGGTTCGGATCCCACATAGGGATGGCCGGTTTGCTCACTGGCTGAGCGTGGTGCTGACAACACCAAGTCAAGGGTTAAGATCCCCTTACCGGTCATCTTTTGAAAAAAAAAAAAAAAAGTTGAAGGACTCATACTTTCCAATTTCAAAACCTTCTACAAAGTTATAGTAATGAAAAGAGTGTGGTGCTGGCATCAGCAAAGACATAGAGATCAATGGAACAGAAATGAGAGTCCAGAAATAAACCCATAAATCTACTG